AGGGACTACAATGACATGGCAGCCAAGAAGTACTGTTTTCAAGAGAAAGTAGTGGTCAACCATTGTTGACTGCTAAAGAAATGTCAATAATCCAAAAGTGCCCTTGAAAAAATTCAGGGATATTAGGGCACAAACCAGACTGTAGGAACCGTAGATGTAAGGACCTTAACATAATACACATGTGCACTCATTTGTATTTTCTGTCTGTTCTTTCAGAAGTTTAGAGATGACGGGAAGGAAAATATAGGTTGGCAGGTTGGCAGGCTGGCAGTGATGGCCAAGTTGAAGGTAGGACAGGGTCGGTGGATAGTAACTTGAGTATGACTGTGGGCTGAGAGGGAAGAGTACAGAAGCAGGGAAGAATAAGGAACACTGAAGGTAACTGAGAAAACAGGAAGAGGTGAAGAGGCCAGAGGTCACAATGAGGACAACAAGCACATTCAACAGGACACGGCAAGATGAGAAGAGAATGGAGCAGCTGGAGAATAAGAGATACTGGGGAAAATGGGTAAAAATTTCAAGATAACAGATAACAGAGATAATAAAAGTAAATGTCCATGGAATTACGAATGTTGTTCCCAGCAAGCCCCAAAAAAGCCATCAGGAAAGAGGGGTGAAGTTGCAGGTGAGCAGTGAAATTCACCAAGGGCTGCAGAAAAGAAAACTGGAAACTGAAGGCCCACTGATATAGAGAGGACATGGTCATATGACACTGGAAGAACGGTTAAAAATTACAGTGGTGCCTTGGTTTATGAATTTAATTTGTTCTACAACTTTGGAAAAGAAGGCCACATTTGCATTTGTGTAGGAAAGATGGTTGTGGCGTGTTCGTCATCCAATGCAGTTTGCAACGAAAACATTATTCTGCCAAATGCTTCTGTTTGCAAACCAATTTGTTTGCAAACAAAAGTGTTTGAGTTAGCACTGTAATTGGTAAAACAGCACGCAGGCCACAACCGAGGACACTAGAATGCCCAAAAAGCATGGAATAATGGGGTACCAGGCTGGCAGAGAGACACATTCATTCTATAAAGGGATATATAGATCCCGAATCTGCCAAGAAGGTTCAAGGAAGATATCAAGGAGAAAGAGCTTAGAACTTAATCCTCTCCTAGAGATTCATCATTCTGGGTAGCAAATATACATCTCTTGTGGACTGAGCTTAGTTCCATGACATCTTGCACAATGTGGACAGTTCAAATAAAAGCATTACATTCATGAACATTTATAAGCCCATGTGACTGCACAATAATTCATATATGTGCATATGTGAACATGAGTTATCAAAGATGGATGCAGGACACACACACACACACACATACACACAAACCAAAAAAAACAAAAAACTGAGGCAGGGGCATAAGAATGATAAATCCAATGTTACCTGGGACAGGCACACCAGTTTCTTGATAGTTTAACTCCTGACAGTTAAATAGTAAAGATATTATATAGGGAGACAGGAGGAAAGCAAAAGCAGGCAGTCTGATGGCTAAGAAGTAAAACCAAAACCACACTACAAATTACATGATCTCTGAGATTCACAAAGGGCTTATCTGGGAGTCTAAAGACTCCTGGTAGGTCAGATTACAATCAGACACACAGGTGCCACTGTGAGATGACATCAGGTCACAGAAAGGCCAATGAAAATAACTTAAAGGAGGAGAAACAAGGTTTTAAAAAAGAAACAAGCTACAAGCTGCCATCCCTGTACATTCTTCTTAACCTGTCTTATACACAAGCAACAAGCAGAAGAAAATGAGTATGTGACCCATAATTGGGTGTGAATAACATTTACATAAAGCAGCAAACTATATTTCAGTGGCCATACCAATTATATTTCCGTCATCTCTTGCTTCTTGATCTTGGAATAATTGCTTCATGTTTAACACTGAAGAAGAGATTTCTTCATTCACATATATGTGTGTAGAAGCCTTATTAAGCAATTAACCCAGGCAGGCAAATAAACACCCTGCTGAAGTAGCAAGATTAGTACCAAGAGATGTGGTAGAACATAAACACCTTAACAGAAAATGAGAATAAAGGTTTGTGCTGTAGAAAGAAATAAAACAAGAATTTCCTTATACTAAAAAAGGACACATCATGATGAAAGTGATGATGATTTTGATACCATCTTATTATAGACAAGTATAAGATAAGCATTTTCACAAGACAGATTGTATAACATGTTATTAGGTATTCAACTTTATGAAATGCAGAATATATATTATTGTTCCCAGTTAACAAATTAAAAAGGTGAGGCTTTCTTTCTTTTTCTTTCTTTGTTTTTTGTGGTACTGGGAATTGAACTCAGGACCTTGTACTTGCCAAGCAGGCCCTTGTGCTGCTGAGCTATATCCCTGGCCCAAGGTGAGACTATAAACACAGAGAACATAGAGAGAGGAGTCCATGACTACACAGTGCTCATGATTCCTTGAATGCCCTTTTCACAAAGAACAGACTTATCCAGTCATTTTGTATATACGTGTGCAGTACATCTGTATACACCTGAATGCTGAGAGCAGTTAGGGTTGTGCAGAGCCAACACTCAGGACAGCAAGAGTACATAATGAGTATCAGACTACAGCACTGAAACCTGCCTTTATGAACAGAAATATTCTTACCTTGTATCAAGCTCTTCTTTGAATAAAACATTGACATTTTCATCGTGTTTGGGAGCCTGCTGTTGGCTTCCAAAAGCTCTGGCACCATACCATGCTGTCACTGTAACAGCTCTCCAGTGAGCCATCAAAAACCCAGCTAGAACATTTTGAATACAGGAGTTTGCTTGCCACCAGAACGCTAAATTGCAATATTTTATATTTATCTCTATTTAAATTTTAGTGATGCTGCATAAATGTTAACATGGTCTTATGCTAATACAATCACAGAGAAGTTTTACTAATATCTCCTATTGGCATAGCCTCTGGGTGACTTATGGTCTGCTAAGCAGGCCCCAATGCACGCTTCTCAATTCACTTAATTACTCCTCCTTAAGTAAGATATGATGTGAAGATGCTATATAGTTCACCCATGACAGGTATTTCCAGAAGCAATGGCAAGGGATGGGTAGGATAGCCTGTTCATATTGAAGGTAAAAAATATTTAATAAGGCAAAGATTTCCAAAAAAGGATCTGGACAGAGAGGTTAATGTTTGATTTAGTCCATTTCTGGCTTAAGAAGCAAAAGGCAAGTCTTAGTAAGTTCTCAAGTATCTAAAGTTTATGGGGATAATATCCTGGACTTCCTGGGGCTGAAACTGCACCTAACAATGACAAACTTGAAGATTCTCCACCTTTCTTCTAGTGGCTGCACCAATTTCCTTGGGCTTCCTGGGAAGCTCCAGGATGTGAGACCGAAGAAGATAGAGTTGCCCCGGAGGCCAGTGCTTGCCTATCTGTAAGACAACCACAAGACAATTAGGGCCTGTCTTAGCTACTTTCCTCTTGTTGCTAAGACAAAAAAGTACTCAACACACAAAATTAAAGGAGGAAAGGTTTATTTAGCTCACAGTTTGTACAAGTTTCAGTCTATAATCAGTGGATCCAAGGCAGGGAGGCACATGGCAGAGGGGCAACTGTTCACGGCAATGGAAGACAGCAAAAACAACAAGGGAGACAGACAAGACTCGTTCTGCCCCTTATGTGGTACACAGGCTACACCTCCCCTAGGGCAGGTGTAGCACTCACACCCTTAATCCTAGCCAGAACTACTTGCCGAAGCAGTCAATGGACTGATTTACTAATTATATAACCTTAATCCCAGCATCACACACTCTAGATTCAGCCACCTCTGAAAAAGCCCTAGGACTGCATGAGGCTCTGTGGGGACACGTAGACATAAACCATAACAGGGCCTAAAGATCAAGGCAGGCAGGGATAAGGAAAACAAAAGACCTACAGTGCTCTCACCCCCTTATCACAGAACAAATCTTTTGGCCTTCCTAGCTCTGCCATTTATTTTACTATGAAAAGATGCTGAAACTCTTTCAACTTGAGGAGGCATCAGATTGAGATTCTAATTAAATAAAGATAAGCATGGATAAAAGGCAAAGGAAATCTTTTCAAAACAAAGCCTACCATGGTAAACATGTTCAAAACAGCCTTTCTCCTGCACCATCACAACCTCCACATCGAGGCAAGGTAGCCCTAATAAGTCACCACCAATTCTCTTGCAGCAAGAATCAGAATATTTTTTTCCTGTTTTAGAGGTACAAATGGGGGCTGGGGATTTAGTTCAGTGGCACAGTGCCTGCCTGAAAGGCGCAAGGTCGTGAGTTCGATTCCCGGTACTCGGGGGAAAAAAAAAAAAAAAACCAAAAAAAAAAAAAAAAAAAATAGAGGTACAAATGATACTAGGGCAGATTTTGAGAAGTGGGAGGAACTACTGCATTCCAATGGAGTAATGGCAGCAGGAAGATGTCCTGACTTTTTTAAGATGAGCAGAATGATAATGTATTGACATCTTTCTGCATCATTCTTTCAAGACACAGTCTCCCGATTCCTTTTGCCTGACCAGTTTTCTAGCACAAACCAAACTAATTGAAATTCTAAAGAACTCCGAACCCAGAGAGTACAATGACCTGACTGCATGTTGACTGGTTCCAGACAACTAGGAGAAGACGTATTCCCCTCGAAAGGCCTTCTTTGGTCAGGTTCATCATTTATTCATTACTACATGTAGATTTATGCCAAAAGGGTCAACTCTTGGGAGTTTATTCTCTTCAATTACTAAAATGTGTGGCTGATCTAACTTCTTATTAGCTTTTTACTAAAACAGAGAATATGACCTAAGATCTGTTATGAAGAGATCAGAAAGTCATAGATGGTGATAACATGGGTGAAAATTCTTATCTACTTGGAATAAAGACAGAATCAAATTCTAGTTTCATTGGTCTTACACTGAAATTTGGGTAGAGATGTGCACAGGTACAAATTTAACCATCTTCAAGCCAACTGGACCCTACTATCCAGCCAATGGGACATTTGTCTATGCAGCTCACCTGGAAAAGGCAGCCCCCAGCACAAATGCAGCATACTCCTTCACGAGGGGCTCTGTGCTGTTCAGCCCATTGATCACCACTTGCAGACCACCGAAGGACAGTAGGTCCTGTGCATTATCCATCTGCAACAAAGGTACAGCTTAGCACAGGACATCAAGGGACAGGAAAGCTCTTCTGACAGTCTTTCTTTTGGTGACTATCCAAAAACAAATTTAAAGCCAAGTAAAAAGCAACAGTGGCCTTTCTGACTAACTAGGAAAGGGTATGTAAAAAAACAAACTAAATTTTAAATAATCTTAAATGTGAGAACTCCCAATTCATGTAACACACTTAGAAGTACCTGCGTGGGAACTAGCGGAAATGGCACCTAGCTATTGCTCATGCCAAGCATGTCTTGGAAAATTCTAATACCATAATGAGTCACAAAGCTTACTCCAAACATGCAAGCTGTTAACACAAAGAATCTGGCGTCATGAGCACCACAAAATGGTGCCATGCTTTCTGTTGATGTCCAACCCCAATGGGGGCAGTGGAGGCAACAGACATTTAAAAAAGCTGATTTTTAATTAGAAGCCAAGGACTATAAAAGAAGCCCTGTTGATGAGGAGGCAGGAATGGGGGAGGGAATGATACAAGAACACCAGGAGAGGAATAACAATAGTACCCTTCTTTTCTAAGGTTTACTGAATCTGAGGACATTCACGATAAAGTCTGCACAAAAGTCACTCTCACAAAGGCTTTAGTTTAGGCTTGTGCTTCTAGCTAGCGAGTACATATTGGATAGTACAGAGTATTTCTATCATTATGTAACTGTAATAAGCTGAATGACTTTAATATACTTAAACAATGAACCCAGGAGATTATAAAAAGGTCTCACTGCAGTGAAATCAGTACTAAATTACTGTACTGACTTCTTATCATACATCTCTAGTTTGACCTGTAATGGACATGTTGATTTCTATGGCATTTAATTAATTTTTTTTTTTTTTTTTTTTTGGTACCGAAGATCGAACTCAGGACCTTACGCTTGCCAGGCAGGCGCTTGTGCCGCTAAACTATATACCCGGCCCTAGATTAATATTTTAAACTAGTATTACAAGGGGCTAGGGATTTAGCTCAGCGGCAAAGCGCCTGCCTGGCAAGCGCAAGGTCGTGAGTTCGGTTCCCCGTACCAGAGAAAAACCAAAAAAATAAATAAATAAATAAACTAGTATTACATTACCATTTTACTAATTAACTTACTAAACCCTATATTTATATGCGAAAAAAATAAAAATATCTCTGCCCCACCCCACCCCCTCAAAGGCTGTCTCTTACGCACAAGCTGATCCTACTCTACAGATCATCAGAAAAACTCAGGAAGCTAGAGCCCAACAAGGTGACGGCTACCTACTTTTTTCCTCCAGATTCTACAAAGCTATTTCCTAGCCAGGTGTTATGGTGCATGCCTGTAATCCCAGCACTTGGGGGGCTGAGGCAGGAGGATCGTTGCAAGTTCGAGACCAGCCTGGGCTACAAAGTGAGCTCAAGGCCACCCTGAACTGCAGAGCAAGACCCTGTCTCAAAAAGACAAAAAAAAAAAAAAAAAGCTATTTCCTATCTGTGTCCTTACCTCTGCCTGCAAACTGAAAATGGATTCTGACAGAAATCAAATGTGAAGCACAGTATCTGAGTCTGCTAATGTTTTTTGGGTGAGCCTTTACCACTTGGAAGATCATTTTTACACTTTTTTTTTTTGAGACAGGGTCTTGCAATGTAGTTCAGGCTAGCCTTGAACAGTGAGTTCAAAACCAGTCTGTTTTTAAGAGAATCACTGTGATTCTCTTGAGTGCTAGAATTATAGGCATGTGCCACCACACCTGGCTCATTTTTATACATTTTGATAGAATGTGTGCAACAGAAGTTTTAGTCTTTTCATCCACTGTTGTAGCTTGTATGACTAGAACAACTATGACCAGAATAGTGTGGAGCATATAATTAGGTACTCAATAAGTAATTATTGAACCAAAGAATATGAATTTCATCAGAAAAGTTTTTGAAATGAAACTCCACTGTGAATAAAAAAAATGCAATCTGCATTTATCATGCCAACAAAGTAAGTGGGCCCCTCTTACCACCAACCTGGAAAAAAAGGACAATCAAAGCGATAATGAGCAAGAAAGCTGGCCTGCCAGGGTGAGGAGTTTCCTGCCTGAATCTGTCCTTACAAAGAGCAAGGAATACTGAAGTATAGCCATGCTAACTAAGGAGCTGCACAAGTGGGTTGCTTTATCAAAACAAACACCAACCTTCTTTACATGCTCTGATTTTAAAATATATGAATCTACTAATGCCTATCCTTTGATCCTCTTTGCTGTAGGGTTTCTACATACAAAACTATGGCTCAGACTCCAGTCATCCTGTGCCTGGCATGTCCTTATCAAAGCTGTATGCATTCCAGGTAAAGCAGCTGCCACTCTGTCAGTCCCAAAGCAACATAGCTCCGAGTCATGGAGGCTCCATTCTAGATTCAGTGCATCTGTTACTACAACAATAATTCAGGGTGATAGGAATGCTGACATTTATTTACACAATCACATTGGCCATGTGAGGTGTTCTCTCATCTTTTATTTCACTGGTAGTGAAGAAGAAAAGAATCATTCTGCCCACTGCACACCAAAAGCTGGATCCTCCTCAGCATCAGACAAGAAATGCAGGACCAGCACCCAGATGCCCAGCTCTTCATTTGGATCAGCAGCCAGAACTTTTCTCAGGCTGCGTTCAGGCTGGAGTGGCACAGGTAAAGAAGAGAATGGGCACTGCATTAGGAAAGGAGCAAAGGGAACTCTGCCAACTATTTCCTTCCTTTCAGGAGGAAAAGAAAGAACCAGAACACTGACAAGAAATGAATGAACAGAAACAGAGAAAGGGAAGACGGGGGTAAATAATTAAGGGATCACACAAGGGAAGGCATATAATACTGCCCCAGGATAGATGAGACAGACAGAGGCTGTTGCTCATAAATAACTCATTAAGTGTTTTCTATATACAAGGTTTTGCTTTTCACATATCTTATTTTAATAATTCAAATATGGCCATAAGGAATCCTTGGGCAGACCCAGTTCAGGTCCTTGAAGCTCATGGTTCTGTAACCTCCATTTAGGGAAACTGGGAATGGGGACAGACTGAGAAGCTCCTGTCTAGAAAAGTTCTAACTTCCTTAACATTAACACTCATCACTCCAATTCCCCATCACAACTGGAAATCAGGGCTAAACTGTGTCTTCTACAAATTCCCAGTAAAATAATAATTTAACCCTGTTATACGGCAGCCTGAAGGGTCAGCCCAAGCCAAGGCCCTTACACTTCTAATCAAAATGGCAATGACCCAAACATTCACGACCCTCTGCCAACAGAGTGAGCTTGGCCTGGGCCAATGGGATGGTTCCTGTGACAACCTCATGTTGAGTCTGGTAATGCTGAAGAAACAGTTTACCTCCACAAGTGACCTGTGAAAGTATAATGGGATGTCACCTGAGAGATGATCCTGCCAGGTGACCAAAAGACCACAGGGGGTAGTGGTGGGGGATGTCGGCCCAAGCTTCCTGTGTAGTCACTCTCTTCTAGGTGTGCTAAGCTCTCTCTCTAGTCCCTTCAGGCTTTCATGTGCAACTAAAGCAAGAGGCTATAGAAACCTGACACGCAAAGGTCCATCCATGTCTGTTAAGATGAAAACATAAGTAAATAGAAGCTGTCAACATCAGAGCAAGATGAGCTGCCAAGTAAACCCTAGGGTCCCTAATACTTTAAATACCTCTAACAGAAAAGCTGTGGGAGTTTTTGTTGGGGAAAGAGAATTCAGATTTGTTTTTTTCTCCAAGAGGATCACAGTCCTGCTATGTGAGACTGAGAAAAAGTTATAAGCAGAGAAAGAAGATGAAGAGGCTGCCCCATAATTCCTGCAGGTACACTGCACACTCTTCTTTTACCACAGAAGCTAACGAAATCCTAAACAAAGAAAAAATGTCTTTGAGTCAGTTTATAGAGAACAAGGATACTCTCGTGTATGGGAGGGGCATTGGGGATCTATGCCTAGATGAGGATCTCAAACAAGCCTTTGATCACGATTACACAGCTTCCTGGGCCACCAGCATCCCCAGCCTGCATTGCCGCAAGAGCCTCCTAGCTGGCCTCTGCTTCTACCCATGCCCTGCACCTCCAGCCTCATTTTCAACACAGCAGCTTGAGGGGTCCTTTATATAGTCAGTCAGATCCTGTCATTCTGCTTGAGACCCTACAGTCTCACCCCTGACTATGGTCTATGGATCCTTTATGTTCTTCCCATCAGCTCTGAGCTTCGTCTGCTCTTCCTCTTCCTGGCTCCTACCATACAGACTTCCTCGTGGTTTCTCAAACAACAATGCATACTCCCCCACCAGAACTGCTGTTCTTGCTGTGCCTCCTGCCTGAGATGCTCCTTTGCCACTATCAATTCCTACTCTGCTTTTCTTTTTACGTTTCTGTAATACTTATCACCTTCAAACATATCGCTTATAATTTATTTATTTGGTATCTCTGTCTCCCCGCCTCTACTAAAAGACAAGTTTTGCTCATAGATGTATCTCAAGTACTCTGAACAGTGCCTGGGCTTAGCAGGCACTCAATAAATTCATTTGAGACTCTATCTCAAAACAAAGAACAAAAAAGCAATTAATAGTGGTACCTACTCATAAGTCAGCTGTAAAAGTCAACAAACTAATACATACAAAGCAGCCAGGCACGGTGGTACACCCCTTGTAATCCTAGCACGTGGGAGGCTGAGAGAGGAGCATGAGTTCGAGGAGCAGCCTAGGTTGCATAATGAGTTCAAGGCCAGGCTGAACTACACAGCAAAATCTTGTCTCAAAAAAAGCATTTGGCCAGGTGTGGCAGCAAATGCCTGTAATCCCAGCCCTTGGGAGGCTGAGGCATGAGGATCACTGTGAGTTTGAGGCCAGCCTGGCTACAAAGTGAGCTCAATGTCAGCCTGAAGTGCATTGCAAGACCCCGTCTCAAAAAGACCATAAAAAAAAAAAAAAAAAGAAAGAAAGAAAGAAAAAAAAGCATTTGAAGTAGTTTCTGGTAAACAATAATGCCCAATAAATATAGGCTATTTATTAATCAGCTACTTTTCCACGTCAGGCTGCCCAGTGGTTCACTGAACTAATAAGGCTAAAATCATAAAGAACACATTATCACCAATCTTACCTCTTTGACCCCCCAGCTTCCTATTTTATCTGCTACCCTCCCCCTGTAACTGCTCTAGTCACCTCAATCTTTTCCAGGCCTTCAATCTCACCAAGTTCTTCTCTGCTCCCAGAATTTTTGCACATGTTATTTACTCTGCTCAAAATGCCCTAACACAAGGACTAGCAAATAATGAACCTGATAGTAACTATTTTTGATTTTGTGAGCCATAAGGTCCCTGACACAACTACTTAACTCTGCACTGTAGCACAAAAATATTATAAATAACAAGTAGGGGTGACTGCGTCCCAATAAAACTTTATTTACAAGCACAGTCTTCCAGCCAGATTTGCTCGTAAGTACTACTTGGCAATTCTCTATTCTAGTTCCCCCTTGTTACCTGGAAAACTCCTAATCAGCCTTAAATGCTCAGCCCACATGGCACATCCTCTGAGAAACCTCCCTTTACTGCCCCAGACTAGGTCCTGTTTCCTCTCTGGAACCCTTATCACACTCTTCTTTTTTTTTTTTTTTCAGTACCGGGAATCCAACTCACGACCTTACGCTTGCCAGGCAGGCGCTGTGCCGCTGAGCTAAACTCCCAGCCCCTCCTTATCACACTCTTCAATTACTTCATTCCGTTAATTTGTTCAACTATTCATTTTTTGTTTCCTCTTCCATACTACATGCTACATAGGTCAGAGGCTATGGCTATTTTACCTCTGCACATCAGCAAATGAAAAAAGAGGCTCACTTTGGCTTCTAAGAATTTATTTGTTACAACAGACACTGGCCTAGATTGAGAACAGCCTATGCCTTAGGAGAAAACGAAAGAAGCTGATGCTATTTTCTCAGGTCTTAGGTCAAGAGAGTTATTTCTGGAGCTGTTAATTGAAAGTCAGACTTACGAACAAAGAAATAAAATACCTGATGGACATAATACTCGAGATCAAAGAGTGCAGCAATCTTCTCTTCTAGGCTGGAGCTGGAACTGTTGAACTTGTTGATCAGCCGTACCATAATCTGCATGTCAGTCTCAATGACAACATTCAGCTCGTCAAACTCCTGCTTCAGCTCCTCAATTGGCCGGAAGAGCCGCTTTACCTCAGCCTGCCTTGCCTAAGAAGAGCAACAAAGAGGTGAGTAATTGGAGACATAACTCCAAGACTTGTGTGGTCTACCATGGATGCCCTTCCTAAAGAACTAGTCCTGATACTTTCTAAGATGTTCAGAGAGAAAAAAAAAAGCCTTCAGAATCTACCCGTATTGGCCTCTGTTTCAGATTTTCTGAGGCTCACTTATCTGAGTCTGACTGCCAGTGTTCAGAAGGAATGGAAAGTCATCTTGTTGAATCACTGAGGTCAACGAAAGCCTTGCAAGCTTCCCTTCAACCCCTCACCTCACATGGAGGATGGCTTGGTCTCTGTTAAAATAATCCGCACCATGGTTCTTTACCTTCCACAACCAGAGACAATCTTGGTCTTGTCCTACTCAACCCAGCAACATTTTAGGGAGACCCGGATATAGGAAACTGCGGGTAAGAGCTCTCAGAGCAATTTGCTGATGAAAATTAAATCACGTCATTACTGTCAATCTAAGCACAGGTGTACAATTTGTTCAACTGTTTGAAATGGCTAAATTACTGTATGTACTATACTCAAATCTCAAACCGTTTTCTTTTGATCCTTCCCCATCCCACATACATAAAAGATTTTAAAATGAAGTTATGTTGGAGGTAAACCAAAGACTTTAATTGGATATTTTATACATGTGGCACTCTGTTTTCCTCCTAATTTTGGAGGACAGTACTCATAAAGACAGTCTAAAAGGTCACAGTGGTTTACATATCTATCTTCCAAGAAAATTTAAAAGGCAAGAATGTTTACAAAAAGCAAGATGATAAGCAGCTGTCAGCTCGTAATTGCTCATGTATTACCTATAGATTCCTCTCCCCAGTTACAAGCACTGCATAAAAACACCAACCAAAGAAATGAGTCAGACCCTCTTTAAAGATTGAGCTCCTAACAGAGCAATCACATCTATAGGGTGTCAAATCCTGATTCTCTGGGTAAAACAAGGTTGCTAGAGGATGGCTGGACAGCTGCCAAATCCTGGCAAAGTGGCCTTGGAAAGCTGAGTCACTTTCTAGAGCTACTGGAAGAAAGGCAAGTGAGCAGGAAAAGGAGCTGGTGACCTCCTCACAGAAATGATGGTGCCTGGCACTGAGAAGTCCTTTTTGAGAGGAGGGGGTAGGGGGAGAAGGAAGAGGAGAAGGAGGGGGAGAGGGAAAGAGGGGGGAAGGTAATAAGGGGAAAAGGGAGCGAGAGGAAAAGGGAGAAATCATAGTTTGAAATAATTATAAACACATAGGAAATTACAAAACCAGTACAGAGAGTACCATGCACTACCCTTTATCAGGCTGCGCCAGTAGTACACTTTACATAAGAGTAGTACAGTGTCAGAACCAAGAAAAGGACACAGGTTTAGAACTCTTCACTAGAGTACAGGCCTTAGATTTCACCACCTTTCACACATACTCATTTGTGTGTGCATGTATGTATGTATCATTCTATACAGTTTTTTAAATCCATCTCCAAACTATCAGAACAATCAAGCTAGAAGCTTAACTACCACCACCAAGCAACTCCACTGTGCGACCTCCTTATGCATAACTGCACCTCATCCTCACACTCTGCTCCCTCTTTTCCCTATGCCCTGGTAACCACTAATTTATTTTCCATCTCTGTATGCCTGACATTTGGAGAACGTTATATAAACGGAACCACAGTCTGTAGCCTTCTAAGTTTGACTTCTTTCCTTGAGCATAATGCCTTGAAATCTACCCAAATTAATGTATACATCAACAGTATTCCATCATACAGATATACAGTTAGTTTAACCAAGTGCTGAAGAACACTGCCATTGTTTCTAGGTTTTGGTAATAACATAAACATTTGTTTACAGGTTTTTGTTTAAACAAAACAAAATGGGATAAATAGCCAAAAGTGTAGGTTATATGATAAATGTATCTTTTGTTTTATAAGAAACTGTTACACTATTTTCCAGAGTGGTTGTATCATTTTTACATTTTCACCAACAATGTGAGATTTGGTTTATCCATATCTTTGTCAGTATTTAGTATTATTACCATTTTTATTTTATGCACTGTAACAGATATATGCTGATATCTCATTGTGGATTTAATTTGCATTTGTCTACTGACTAATAATGTTACTGTCCTTTCCTGTTCTTATCTGCCACCCATATATTCTTTCTGATGAAATTTACGTTTGTGTCCTTTTCCCACTTTTAAAATAAACTATAGCAGGCCCCCGGAGGGAGGGCCCCTGGCGTGCGGGGAGCCACGGGCGGGGAGTGCAGGTCTTCTGACCGGTGGCTCACTCCCTGCCTCGTAGGCCCCCGGAGGGAGGGCCCCCGGCACACGGGGAGCCATGCGGCCGAGAGCACTGTGGCGCGCAGGCTTTCAGGCCGGCCACCACTGCTCAATTGAGAACTACCATGACACAGAGAAACAATGACACAATTGGCCCACCATGCACCGGCTGCAGATGCCCACCCATGGGTGTGTGTGAATCATTCAAACATGGAAAAACCCCTGGGAATACATGCCATACAATGGGTCACTCTTGCTCCTGCCATTGAGAACCAGAAAGGGCCAGGGTCAGCGGAGGAGTAGCTGCTGAACAAGGATTTGGAGAACATGAGAATGTAGACTAAGCCCATGGAGTCAGAGGTCCTGTGGACTGGGGTCATGAGAGCCTCTCAGAAGCTGTAAACCAGGAGGCCCTTACACAATACCTGCAGAGACTCACTGGAAGCCATTCTTCCCCTGACAGTACAGGCTGTGGTGGAGCTCTGGAGAAGTCTGCAGCAGGATTCCTGCTGCCTGTGCTGACGGTTGGGGAGAGGACACTAACTGGTTGTGGGGTCCCAATGCGATGGGAGGCTGGAGAGAAAACGCTACAAAAAATGGCTTTCGCCCCACATGGCTCACTTGATTTTTGACAACCCTTAGGCTGTAACTACTTGTTAGATCCTTCTTGTGTATCTCTGTCTTCCTGAGAAACCACTTCGAAGATACCAACATGTATTATAGCAGTCATTGATATTTTCCTACTAATTTATCCATAACTCTGTAATGTTTGTATTGTTCCTATCCTATTTCATAAATAGATCCATGTTTATTATTATGTGTTTCCTACAACAATCATTGAGAATTATTGAATGATTATTCAATAGGTCACTCATGTATAATTCTATTTATATTCTTTAGAAGCCACTTTGAAGATACCTAAGTATAGTACAACAACTATTGATAATCTCCTACCTCTTCTGTCTGTAACTCACTATTATTTGTCTATTTGTTTTCCTGAGAAACTATCTTGTAGATAACAATATGTAAAACAATAACCATTGATAATTTCCTACCACTTTGTCTGTAATTTGGTAAGCCCCCCCTATTACTATGTTATCCTTCTTTTACTCTTTAAAAAAAAAAAAAATTTTTAAATTAAATAAATAAATAAATAAAATAAACTATAGCTTTTTACTATTCAATTTTAAGAGTTCTCTATGTATTCTAATTTTTTTATTTTAAAGAGTAAAAGAAGGATAACATAATCATAGGAGGGGCTTACCAAATTACAGACAAAGTGGTAGGAAATTATCAATGTTGTTTTACATATTGTTATCTACAAGATAGTTCTTTATGTATTCTAGATACAAAGCCTTTGTCAGACATGGACAGTCCTTCCTTGTACAGAGCTGAAATGCACCAATTTCAAATACCACAATTTAAATAACACCAATCTTCCATAACTTGAATTTTAGTTACATAATACAGTAACTGCATGAAATACCAACATTGCTGCTAACTCTTCAGTTCCAAAGTCACTATATAATTTAAATTTCCAGCAGCAGCAACTGATCATGACTTCTTTCAAAGTGTGCCAGAGATTGGTCACTGGGCATCTGTCATTCATTTCATACACAGATGCAAAAAGTATAGTTACATAGCACCCTTATCTCCCAGGGATGAACACACACAACATTTCACAAAAGTGGATAATCAAAAGAGAGAACTGCCTGTAATCCCATCATTTGAGGGGCTGAGGCAGGAGGATCGCCATGAGTTTAAGCCAGTCTGCTACATAGTGAGTTCAAGACCAGCCTGAATTACACAGCAAGACCCTGTCTCAATAGAGGGAGGGAGGGAGGAAGAGAGAGAGAGAGCAAGAGAGGTGGAGAAGAGAGGGAAAGACAGAGAGAGACAGAGAGACAGAGAGAGAGAGACAGAGAGATGGCTACCAAAGATGAAAGTACCACAAAGAAATGAGAAGTGGTAACTCTAGCAGTAAAATTCAAACTGAACATACACGGAGTTTTAGAAGAAAGAGTGGATCACGGGAATGCTGGCACTGATGCTGTTTGATAAACTCTAGATGTACAGCCAAAGAAACTTAGCCAAGGCAAACCTTCAAACATAAATTTAAAAAGTGAGGAAAAGGATGAAGTGACACTGGCAAAAAACTTCAAGTTACATAAACTCTGAGAATTTTCACAGCACTGAAAACACAATGGATAAAAGGTTAGAAGCTGATCCACTCTTAGAAAGGAGCATGATACTTCACCAAGAACCAGAAAAGATGCTTGCTCTCTGTCAAGTTATACAATGAAAAGCTAAGCATTGTTCAATAACTGACAAGTTTTTTCCCAAAGAAATAAAAACTTTAATTTTAATGTTTCTAGTGTTCTAAATTACAATGTACTAAATACATATTAGTATTCTCACTTTTCAATTCTGTATACATTTATAACTGATAGCAATGTATTTTTTAATGTTTGACAAAATATTTTAAAGATCATGAAGCAATCGCGATTTTTCTTTTATTAAAGATTCCTTTGCAGAGCTTCAGCTCGCCCAGTCATTTTTATGGTTCTGTGTGATAACAAAGTGAAGAGTGCTGGCATATGGTTTCTGAACATTTCCACCCAGTGTCTTATCTTTCTAACGACTTATCAGGATCTTTCATAGAAAAAAGGGTTTTAATTTGGTAGAGTCCAATTATTCATTTTTTTTCTTTTAAGGACTGTGTATT